CCCCCTGCAATCTCTTACCGTTACCTTCAGCGATAACGCCGATATCTGAGAATGTCTCGGGTCAGTCACCACCTCTTGGTAAGCTCGAGAATTGTATTCGGGGTGTGTCTTCAACGTGGGATATCGATCGCATATCGTTAAGGGTAGCATGAGGATTACAATGAGGACTACAACTTAATATGCCGTTGACATTACATGCTATAGCAACTACATCGAGAACATACATGTGGCATTATTTAAGAGACACAAAAAAATTATTGCTATGATTGATTGTAATCCGCAGATACCTTTTGCAAATCAGAAATATTTTGCATAATTAATAAAAGTTTAGATATTATAAACAGAAAGTTGAGGGTGGAAAATATTGGATATGAATTAGCTTCAATTAAAAATACATAATAATATAAAAGATAAGTACACGTAGCGCTGCGCCATTAAAATACACGCGCACACACATACGCACACACACACACATTTATACACTGAGAAACCCATTTAGTTGAATCTTTGGTTGGATAAACAAATTCTTTAGTTAATATAACAAAAAATTTGGTTCACATAAAAAATTTAGTTATGTTAAATAATTTTTATCATGTTAATCAAATTTTTTGTTATATTAACTAAAGAATTTGCTTATCCAACCAAAGATTTTAGTTGATTCAACTGAATGGGTTCCTCAGTGTACATATATATGTATATAATATGTGTATGTGTGTGTATGTATGTATAATAAGACTGAAAGCAGTTTTCTGAAGAATTTCACTGACCCTCTTGGTTAAGATCCTAAATCTAAAGTACGTTTTTCACGGTTGATCCCTGCCGATAGAATTTGCTAACTGACAATGAATCTAGTGACACTAACATATTAACTGCTAAAAAAATAACCAGTGGACAATACTTTTTAGTAATGCAGCAGGAGATCACTGATAGCATCATCAAACTTATTTGAAACATTTGCTGCGCATAAATTCTACTTCTTGTAAAATTCTAAACAACATAAATAATATGATGTCAGAATAAAATAAACAATGCTCTATTAATTACAATTAGTAATTCTTGATATTTTTATATATATTTTAATAACGTAAATACCATGATAGCAGAAAACAATTTGCTGAGCAATTAACATGTTGAAGAACGTTTAATATCATATTTATTAAATATTAAATGAGAAGAACTTGTTGGATAAAAATTCAATTCAATATGAGTTTAAAGCATGGATATTCATGCCATAATGCAATTACTTTTTTTTCCTTTATGCACTTCCAATAATCAATTTAGCTCTTTATGCACACACAAAATTTCTCAATTAATATTTGATATTTGTTTCGACTTAAAGATTTTTTCCGTCATGAATCAACTTTTTCCTTTTTTCTTTTATATGTTTTACATGTTTGATATTAACCATTTCAATTTTTTTGTTTTTTTTTTTCCAGAAAATTGAAATTATTTGAGTACTGCTGGCCAGTTGTATAGAATGAGCTGGCCAGTTGATAGAATACTTGAACCCACATTAGGACAAGAAAGGTATCACAAGCTACAATTGTAAGTATTGTAAGTCTTCTCTTCAGGGACCTGAGTGTCTGAGCGGGCATAAATTTAAAATATTCTTTTTCAATATGTATATAACACTTGTCAGAAAATATGAAAAACTAGCAAAGGTAAGGGTAATGAGTTGCAGAAAAATGTAAAATATAAGAGAGAGAAATGTACCAACCACACACACAGAGACATATATTCGTAGACATAATATTTTTCTTTACCATTCTCGATGTGATTGGTCGAGTCCCGTAACGCTCTTAAAGTCTTAATACATTTTCCTGTTTACTATGGAATATTCTACACTGCACGAAAATTTTCTACAAATTTCTACAATGTTTTATTTTTTAAGTACATTCATATCTTTGCCTTAATTTGTCGAAGTTTTGCAATTTTTCTTCTTCGATTTTTTTAGATCTTATTCATAATTTGATAATATATGTATGAGATAGTTTATTCTTAGAAGTGCATTACAATAGCAACAACAGTCAGAATAGCTGCTTACTTTTTAAAAACATAGTTCTGTTTAAAAAGTTTAAATAGTTATGTTTAAAAACTTGGTCGAAAAAAGCGTTATATCGTTGCTGTTATGAAAAATAAATAATGTATATTTCTAGAATTGTTTCAATTAATATTCCATGATTAAATATTTAAAATATATTTGGAAATAATTAATCAGCATTATATGCAATGTCTGAAACGTGATTACATGCATGGTATCGTTATTCAGATTACTAACTTCTAAATTTCGATAAAAATTCTCAAAAGTTTCATTACTGACTAAAATGAAAAAAGAAATGCTGAGAAGAAATCGTGACGAATGATGCCTGCAGAGTCTACCTTAAAAACATGATTGCTAATTCTGAGAGAATATTCTTGTTGATATCGATTACTTTCTATTCTGAAACTATGACATTAAAGGTGTCTTTAAGAGTATTTTCGTCATCCCGAATCTAGCACAGAAATATTTAAATATGTTCTATAATATCCATATCTTCCTGATCCAGGCTTTACCTGCTTCGAGAATAGAGACAGATTTATACTGTCATTAAAAATTTACAAAAATAACAACGTTAAATCTGGTAACTGTGATCAATTTAGTTAGTCGTATATATATGGAGAGAATTATCGGAGTATAATACTATATAATATAATATCCATTTCCATTATTTAATTTTTGTTTCATGAAATCTCGTAGTTCTATTTTCTCTATCTACAATTTTCTTTTCGTGATTGAATAAAATCATTTTGCTCAGTCAAATTGTGTATCTGTGTGTATGTTAAGATTCTATTTTCTCTAAGTATTTTTTTGTTAAAGAAAATAATTAAATAGAAATTGTATGTCTCAGCATCGCTACACTGAGAAAAAATATTAGGTGGTTCCTAACAGCTTATTTACTTAATATAATACACATATTTATTTAGAATTAAATATCTTTACTTAATTTAAATAAAAATATATAAATATGTGTATTATATTAAGTAAATAAGCTATTAGGAGCCATCTAATAAATATTTTTTTCTCAGTGTATGTATCAATAAACATCAGTCCTTTAATTCTAATAAAAATTTTGATAAAGATAGGATCAATTTTTTACTCCGAAAACACGCGATCTCAGAGATGTATCGAAAGATGAAATACATGGAAAGAATCCCCATAACAAAACAGAAACCATCCTACCTCATTAAAGGTGACGATTTCCGCGACGCATGATTGTCTGTTCCAAAAATCATTCTCGCGCTAAAATCTCGTAACCGGAAGACGTAAAGTATGATCGCGCGTCGCTTCAACGCAAGGTGCCAACGCTCTGGATCTCCTTCTCTCCTCTCTTTCACTCGCATCTGGTGGGGAAGCCGCGGACCTAATGGTAGGTATTCCGTGGTGGGGACATGGTACCGAGTGGGGATCATATGAGAGTACGGAAAGTGAGTATACGGGGGGGGTGACGAGGAGGTGTGGGCATGAGCAGTAGAGGGAGCAGCAGCAGACGCCGAAAGCGTAAAGAGAGCCATAATTCGCCGGGCCGTCCCGCAATCAGGTTCGTGCTTTATAAATCCGCCTTACTCGTGACATCCTTCGTGACGAAAAAAAAAAGGACGGTAGTGTGTATCTTTTTACTTATGTTACTCCGGTTGTACTGTCTCGTACAATCCTCGCTCTGCGTGCAACTAGGCGAGAAAGAGCGACGTACGCGTGCGTTTTAAAGCGATTCATTGATCCTTAACACGCGTAGCATCGCGCGTGGCTTCGCGGTTCGTATTGTCGCGCTTCTGGAGGAGACGAGTCGAGTGTTGCCGCGCAAGGAAGAGAAAAGCTTCGGAACTAGTGGTGCTCTGAGCGAGGCGGGGAAGAAAATGAAAAGGAACTCTGTGCTTCGTTGACAGCTTCGCGCGCCGGAGGTCGTCCTACCCGTCACTCCTGGACTCCTATCAGTTGACGCCGACTCTTCGTTTCACAACACAATTCTCTGGATTCCCATCTTTTGCATCAATCAATTTCCACATGTCGCACCATATCGGGACGAAGGGACTCTTCGTTCATTATTATTTTCAACCACTAGTACGAGACTAGCTACCGCAGAGAAAAATACAAACCACAGATACCAAAGATTCCAGAACGGAGGTAATCATCCACTACTGGTTACTAATTTTACCTACTCTAATTTTACAAACTCGGGCAAATCGAAGGGAAATGTGCAATTGGTTTTTTTTCCCCAATCCCTGATTTCTTCTGTTTGGTGTTTAATGTGTGCTTGTTAGTCGACGCTTCTTGATTTCGTGTGACAACTATTACTCCATTTTTCCTACGTTAAAATTGTGTAGCGTCGCCGTTCTCCTCTTTGTCATCATCGTCGTCGCGTAAATATGAGCTTCACCTACACGACCACTTCACGGACACTTGTAAACGCACAACCAACACGCATGAACACACCACTCACACATACGTACACGCACACATGCCCACAAAAGACACTTGCGTGCTTGGAGAAGCGATGATGTACGCTCGTGCACGTGCACGTTAGTGCACGTTAGTGCATACACAGAGTCACGATTCTGTACACGGTTCTGATTATTAACGAGTTATTATTGCGATACTAATTAAGTTTAATCGCAAGGCCGCCCGTTCGTTAAAGTTAATTGCACGATCGACCACGGCCCACGCCATTAATTGCGCCGTTGTTCGACGTGCGCGCTTTTATACAGTTGAGCTTTACGTGTTTTGTGATACGTGAACGGTAATACTCGTCGCGAAGTAATACGATTCCTCAAATGAAAATATATATCGCAACTCTCACGCATTTAGCAACGTTCTCTTGGATGTGGAATGCATCACGCGGATAGAGCGTAATGATTTTGTCGAAATTCGCGGTGTTGATTCACGCTCGGCCATGTTCAAGTAAACATTTATCCTTTTGGCAATCTGTCAGCGCGCGGTCAAGGGTTTCCGTAAGTTTATTTTTGCCAGGTATCACAAATTGGCGATTGCTCTCTGTGTTCATATCGAGTTATGTATTACGCGACATATTATGTATTACGCTTCATGTAATCAGATCATTTATGTTATACATTTGCACAAGAAATTTATCATTTCTGCAATCTTTTAATCTGAATTGTTCGTGGTTGCTAGTGCTATTGAAAATTCATTAGACATATACCTACAATTTCTAGTTAATTTAAATCAAAATCCTATACAGAAAAATTTGCGAAAACATCTCTTTCTTTTCCCTCGCATGTGCTTCTGCGATGAACTTACCAATATTACTGAATCGGATCGTAAAACATAGCGCTTTGTTTATCTTATTTCTTAATATTCAGAGTAATTGATTATTAAGGAAAATTGCAACGTTATTTAATGCTGAAAAGTAATTGCCAATGGCTTTTGTTACGAAATTCTCGCCTTTCGCAAAGTTGTTGCCAAACGCACTAATGTCTAGATGGATTTTCCAATTTCGTCAGATTTCATTACTCCAATATGTGATCATGTTATTTTCGATAATCATTTATTAAGAAGATTATTATCAAGATTTTATTTAAGACATTGTTTAATGTGTTAACAGCAATATATGTCCAACAATTAATTTACAAAGCTTTAAGAAAATTCTGTCATCCTATCAGAAGATGCTGAAGAAATATTATTGATCAATCGATTAATTGATAGCGCGATTAATGAAAAATGTCGACTCATATGCAATTTCGGGTTTTTGAAGAAACAAGCACGGACATTATTATTTTTTATAATATATATCTATAATATATGTATATCGATGACCAGTGGTGATAAATCATGTGTTGAACAATGATAATATAGCTACACGTGCTGCAAACTTTTTCTCATTTTCGAGTTGTCATCATAATTTTACATTACTGTCACTCGTCTGATCGATTTTTACGTGCCAAATAATCATCCTGTTTACGAAATGTTGCAATTTCCTGTAGTGATTTCCTGGTCTTACGATTTTCATCCGCGGTTTTCTTTGACATTCAGTATCAGTCTTTTTATATCGATTAACTACTTATTAACTACTTATCTCTACGACTATTAGTCTGCGATTGCATCACATCAGAGTTAAACTTTTCTTTTGTAAATAATTTTAAATTTCTTTATAACAAAATATTAATGCAACAGATTTAAATTTAATCACTATTGAATTATTTTAAAATGTTCTGAGCGAATATCCAAAATGTTTAATGACTTTGACTGCACTGATATTAAATACCATAACTGCTCAATAAAATGATTAAAAATAATAAATTAGCAATGTTACTTTAATGTCATAACTATTCTTTAAATTAATTGCTGTCGAAATATCTTAATCTCGAATTTATTACTTGCTAAAAGTTAAAAAAAAATTAACTGAAAATATTTTCTTCCTTTAACGCAAATGTGAACATAAACTAATAATAATAATATAAATTAATAGTAAATAATAAAAGAAAGACTAATATAAACCAAATAATTTTCTTAAGGAGTAATTTATTATTGTAACATTATTTATGCGAAGTTAGAATCGCGAATTATAACACAATAAGCAGAAATTGAAGTTTTGAGTTTTATTTTTTGTGCAGATATTTTACCTTAATTCAACCTTTGTCTATAATATTGCTTGCAACATCCGGTATATATTTTGAAGATAAATGTTTTATATAATTTATCACGTTTTGTGCAATTTCTCATGCTGATATTGTAAAAAAATTAGTTGTTATACTGAAATTTTTCTTGAATAATTTGTTCTTTAAATATATTGGTTACGAATTTATTGCGCAATATTGAAATTAAGAAAATAATGCAATTATTAATCGCGTGAACGCTTTGAAGTATTAATTTGCTATGTTATCTTTTTATGTTGTTATACAATACTGTATAATTTATACAATAATAAACTGTACAAAAAAATTACATTTTATTTTGCAACATTAATACAAGTTGTTACTCTCATACAAGAGAAGAAATATGAAATAATTTCATAACGACAACCGCTATGCTACATTACTTTGCACAGTTTTTACTACCATCTAACGGAAAAACATCTAACGGAAACTAGAATGTTATTTATGCAATGTAGCTTATTCGACCTTTCAAAGCACCTAACCATTTCTTACTGCCATTCGTTGTATACCCAAGTCTTTGAGAAATGCAAATCATTCAAGAGCATATGTTAAATTTTAATAGAATCAGGTTTGAAGCCCTAAAAAATTTTTATATATTTACTTCTTAATATATTTTGTGCAAAAAATGTACTATTGTGCTTCTACTCTGGATTATGAAATTTTTAATAATTTATTTTAGGAAAACACTTCTTTCTCGTGCAAACCCATTCCAGAAACACGTGATTAAAAAAATGACTTTAGTATTGTTCCTACATTGCAATAGAGTGTATATGAATGCATTTTCTATTATTATAAAATTTTATCTTTATTATACTTAAATTATGTGTATTGTACTTTTATTTTTAGTATAAATATTTGCAATAAATTATTATTCAGTATTATTCAAGCATGAAAAACATAATACATAAAAAACAATATAAAAATCTTAAATTAAACGTGGCAAGTATGTCTATACATTATATATTTGTTATTCATTACAAACATATTCATATTTTATATATTTATTTATAAATATAATAACGTACTGCGACGGTATTAATTATTAGAATATTTTTGTAGTGCAAAAACTTCTACTAATTAAAATCATTGGAACATATATTATTACAGGGTCATAAATAAATAAATATATAAATATATTTGCCATATTTATCTTATAATTTTTATGTTGTTTGTTTGCCCGTATATTGAATACTAGTTTGTGGCAAATATTGATCTCGAAATATTTTCTACATGAAATTAATTGGCATTAATTTTTATCTCGCAAGTTTGTTGAAGTTTCGACAAAAGTCTTTAGTAATTAATATCCACGTTTATTAATTGCTTCTTTGTTTCATTATAATATTGACTGCTTTTACTTACTGCAATTAGCGACGTAGCTTTCTTTGCCCTCGCATTCATATCAGAGATAACTACAGTGCATGAAATCATAGAAACTTTTCAAACGTCGTACACGGTTGCGATATAGTAGGCACGCATATTCGTCGTATTGCGTGCGACGCGTGTGATCAATAAATCGGCCTGTGCAGCACAGACACAAAGACAGTCATATATGTGTACGTACGCACACGTATGCGAATACACGTAGAACACTCGTGTAGAAACCTAAACCGTAGTTCAACGGAGAGTATTCGTACATTATCTTATGATGCGTCACGTACCGCATATTTCTGATATCATGATTTTTATTGCAGAAAACAGACTTAAACTCTTTTTAGTGGACGTTTTCAAAAATCAACTAATAATTTCTAATAATAATAATTAGCAATGGCAATAAATTATTATTAAAGATTAATACAATCGTCACAATATATATATCAATACATATTTATCAAATAATGGTAATTATTTGGACTCAACTCAATTTATATTAAGCAAAAATAATTATAATTAATAACACGTGAATTTGTTGGACTAGATAAGAAAACTTAAAGACTTAAGCTTAAGACAGATTTGCATTAGAGAAAAATATAATAATTCGATATGAACGTTTCCCAGACAATCACAGGAGAATTAATAAAAGGGATGAAGCAATGTTCAAATTTTATTTAAAATCTTATTCAATTCTCCAATCTCATTCATCTACTGTCATTCTACGTAATTAATTACTTGCCTTTCTGTGCCGGCGTGTCAGTCAAAATATACTAGAATTTCGCATCAAAATGACAGTTGTTATCAATCACGAGTTTAACGGGTACGGATGATCGATTTGGCATTCGAAAATTTTGAGAATTTATGGATGACTATTTCGCGCATCCCCCAGACACACGTGGCATTTTAATTGATACATAAGCAGCCTTTTATGGTAGGCTCGATGAATACGATTTCCACATTCAATTCACGAGAATTGCATTGCGACATTTACATTTCAGAATATGCGTTTCCGTACATCGACGAACAGCTGCAGTTCAGCTGTATCGCGCTATTATTACTCATGATAATAATAGTAGGCTATACTTGCTCCATACGCAAATTGCGTGCGCAAACAAAACGAGGTTTTCTAGAACTGGGCTGTTT